TTTCAAGAATTTTATTTGGATATGGTGCAGAGTTTATCTTTTTTGTGTCTCTTATAATTTGGGTTTGTGTAGCTTCCTGTATTTGCAGGCTTGGTTCTATGTTCAGATCTGGAAAATTCTCTCAGATTATCTCTTGGAAAATTATTTCTGTGCCTTTATTGTTGTCATGGTGCTCTGGGATTTCAGTAATTCTAATGTTAGATTTCTTAATTGAATCCCGTATTTCCTTTTTTCCCCTTCTGTTCTTTTCTCTTGTTTCTCTTGACACTTGATAAATTCAGTTATTTTGTATTCTAGATCATTTATATTTTATTTTCTGTCTTTTCTACTTTATTATTGAATGTTTCTCTGGCTTTTTCCAATTCAGTTGTTTTACTCTTCAGTTCCAGTAGATCTCTTTGGGTTTTTTTTTTTTTTTTTTTTTTTTTTGATGTTTTCAGTTTCCTTTTGAATATCTCATTTTGCTTCTCCATTTGTTTCCTCATGTCTGCTAGTTTGCTTTCAATGTGCTTTTTGCTTTCTTTAAACATATTTATCACAATAGTCTGAAAATGATCAATTCCTTGCATTAGTCTGGCCTTCATAAAACAAATGTCCTCTTCTTCATGTCTTGCTTTTGATTGGTCTTTCTTCTCTTATGATTTTGTGTGTTTTGCTATTTTTTGTTGAATATGGGCCATTTTATTGTCTTTATTTTAACTTTAAATTTTGTATTCTTGTTTTTGTGGGAAAATTTTCTGATTGGGCACCCTGGTGTCACAGTGGCCAGGTACCCATCTGCCAAGTGAAAGGCCAGGGCCTGCACCCACCAGCCTCTCCACAGGAGAAAGATGTAGCAGCCAGCCTCTGCAAAGACTCAAAGCTCTGCGAATCCCATGGGGCAGCTCCACTTCGCCCCACAGGGTCACTGTGAATCAGAATCAACCCAGCAGCAGTGGGCTTGGTATCTTCTCCTGAAAACTACTAGATAGCACTCTTATCCTTAGGTTTTTTTCAGTTCTGATTCAGTTCTTGTTGCTTGATCTCTGGAATTCAGTATGCATGCACAAGAAGGATAAGTTTAGCTGGTTGCAGACTCTGATGTAAGCAGTGGTGTTTGACTTTCCTGAGGCAAATGTGGTGGGCTCTCTATGTCTTTCCCTCATGGACGCCCCTTCACAGGCTCTCCCACAGTTTCCCACTGTGGGCAGGGAGCTAGCCATTTCCCTCTGTGTCATTGTCTGTTTGAAGTATTCCCTTGCTCTGCTGTCCTTGCATTTCCTCCCAGTCCTAGTGCCCATCCCTCTTGGGCCTCAGCGAGATTCAACAGCACTCTCTTGCAGCATCACTGTCTCCCTTTGCTCCCTCCCAGTTGTGCAGCCTATGAATTCCCATGGCTGATCTGCACTGCCTTAAATAATTTGGCTACGCTTTCCTCGGAACACCTCGCTTTCTGTGTTCCCTGTTTAGGGTGTTTACCAGCCCCATCACAAATTGGCTACAATGAGTGAGTGCTTGTGATGTTAGTGGATAGGTTTCTCAGCTTCTGTGCCATCCCCGTTCCTCCTTTCCCCCATTTCTGGAATCACCCCAACTCTCCAATACCTCAGCTACCGTCCAGAGTTCTGAGATCTCAGTCTATGCTTGTTTTTATTCATTATTCAGTGGGTTACTTGCTGGAGGAGTAAATGGGAATGTCCACTCACTTGAACATCTTACTCCATCTCCCTGACAAATGTTTCTTAAGGCTATCTTTGTGTCTGACTCATGGAAGATTTTTGGACATGACATGCTGGTTGGAAGCTATTTTTTCCTTTTTCAAGCTGTCTCTTCATCCACCAGTGGAGTTTTAATGCTGCCCGTGTAGTCAGTATTAACAGATTTGAGTCAGGTAAGTTTGGTACAAAGTCAGTACAGGGCTATATTTAAAGAGAAGTCTGATGGATGAGAAGCAGTTAATCATAGTGGTTTAGAGAATGAGCTTGCAGAGAAAGAACACAAACAAACCATGAGGATGGGCTTTGACATCAGAAATTTCTGGGTTTAGGTCTCACTCATTTCCTAGCTATTGGAATTTGGGCAAGTTACTTGGCATCTCAGATATTCAATTTAGATCCTTATCTATAAAACCTGAATAATAGTACCTATCTCTAGGATGGTTTCCAGGGCTAAACAAGTTAGTTCATATAAAGTGCTTTGTATAGGAGATGATAAATGCTATTTGATATTATTATTATAGTTGACATTTTGGGGAAGTCCCAAATAATTAAAAGGAATGGTGAATGGAACAGTGTCACGTGTTGAAAATGCAGAGATGCTATCTGATAGAGTAAGATAATCTTCTCGAGAAATCATAGATCAAGCTAGATGCTGCTACTACCAAACGTTACATAATAAGGCTTCAGAAGGTGACTTGCGTTACCACAGGCCCTGTTCTTTAGCTAGATGTTGAAATATGGTCTATTATGACAAATGATCTGCCCTTTGTTCTCAGCTCTGGTCTCTGACATCTGCCCTCACATAACCCTGAGGTTTAATTTTTACATTGATTACAGTTTTTAACTAATCATCCATGTGTTATTTTGTTATATAGACTATTATTCAAAGGCTTTAATGTACTAGGAGTCAGCAGGGGTATAGTGGAAAAAAACATCAACTTGGAGTCGAGGACCATAGGTCCCAGCCTGGCTCCACAAACATCCCTCCTTTTGCCCCCATCACTGTATTTTCTACGTGTTTCTTTTACTGGGCTGCTAACATTGATACTGCAACAACTACCATTTACAGATGAGCTACCATGTGCCAGATATTAAAATACGTTCTTTGCACTTATTATCACATTTAAGCTACTATTCGTAGCAACTCTGTAAAGTACATATTTTATCCTCATTTAACAGATAAGGAATAGGTTCAGAGAGTCTATCTGACATGCAAGTGAGGAGCCATGACATTTGAAATAAGGTTCCGTCTTTAAGCTTGTACCTTCTTATACACCAAGCATCATGCATGACACCATTTTATTTGCCATCACAGAAAACTTTCTGTGTTCTCAACCAGAACTTGAGCTCCTAGGAGCACAGACTTTGTCTCATTCATCTGTTGCCAGTGAATAACAGCTTCTAGCACAGAAAAGATGCTCAGTAAGGGCTAAATGTGTAAATGAATGACATGAAACGGAAGAGCTGTATACAATGTTAGCTGTTGTTATTGTTGCTTCTGTTTTAAGTTTGTCCTCAGATAATCCTGAACTCCACATTATGGAAAGGCCTTAGTTTGCACATCATGCGGATAGAGGGAAATTGGTTGAATTATCCCTCATGTGCTTTGCTCTAGGTTTCTGACTGGTGGCGGAAGGTAATAGGCAAGGAGTAACCCAGAGCTGAAGGTTAATGGTGTTGTGGGAGATGAACATCAAAGGGCTAGGGCGTTCTAGGTGTCAAGAACCATGTGTGCAATGCCCTGACCTGTAACTAGGCAAAGTATGATGAGGTTAGAGCTAGATTTGAATTACTGTATGTTTTTCTACTTACTAACTATGTGAACTTGGACAAGCTGCCTGAATTCTGTGACCTTCATCTTCATCATCTATAAAATGGAAATGGTTGGGCTGTTGTGAAGAGTGGAGATAAATTTCATAAAACACCTTGCACAAAGCACATGCTCAGTCCACAGTAACTACTGTCCTGATTTTATGTGGCTGTGTTTGAATTCCTGGTTGATTTGTCTTAGCAAAATATTATGTTAGTAATTATGGAGAGAGCCCTTTGCGAGGTATGGAGACACCATACCAAGAATTGTGGAAGCCTATTTCTGTACACACATGAGTTAGCAAAAGAGATATCGTAAAACCATTTTTTGATAATTGTCCCCGGATCATTACTTGATACAAAGCAATTACTCTGGAGTCTCACTATAAAACAGCCTATGGAACTGGGTGTAAGGAGCGTCTTGGACCCTGGCCAAAGTCGTATTTAATGCTGGGATTGCAAAAGAGACCGGTGCTAATATTAATCTAACGAGAATTTCAGATGTGAACTCTTAGTGGGTGATTTTTATTTGTTGAGGACTGGACATCGTACACTGTATTAGGTGCTTTGCACGTTTTACCTGATTTCTTTATCTCAGTGCTCCACAGGGGTTGGTTATTTTCAACTTTTTTATTTATTTTTTTCTTCCTGAGAAAATTGAGGCTCAGAGAAGTGAAGTGATTTGCCTCAGGATTTAAATGTATGGAGCTAGAATTTGCATCCTGTTGTTGTTGTCAGGTGCTGTTGAGATCGTTTCAATTCACAGCGGCCCTGTGTACAACAGAACGAAACACTGCCCGGTCCTGCGCCATCCTCACAATCATTGTTATACTTGAGCCCACTGTTGCAAGCACTGTGTCAATCCATCTCGTCGAGGGTCTTCCTCTTTTTCGCTGACCCTCTGCTTTCCCCAGCACAATGTCCTTCTCCAGGGACCGATTCCTCCTGATAACGTGTTGAAAATATGTGAGACATAGTCTCGCTACCCTTGGTTCTAAGGATCATTCTGGCTGCATTTCTTCCAAAACAGATTTATTTGTTCTTCTGGCAGTCCATGGTATATTCAGTATTCTTCCCCAACACCGTAATTCAAAGTTACCAATTCTTCTTTGGCCTTCCTTATTCATTGTCCCGGCTTTCATGTGCATATGAGGTGATTGAACACCATGGCTTGGGTCAGGCACACCTCAGTCTTCAAGGTGACATCTTTGCTTTTTAACACTTTAAAGAGGTCTTTTGCAGCAGATTTGTTCAATGCAATGAATGCGTCATTTGATTTCTTGACTGCTGTTTCCATGGATGTTGATTGTGAATCCAAGTAAAATGAAATCCTTGACAACTTCAATCTTTTCTCTGTCTATACTGCTAGGTCCAGTGATTCGATTTTCCTATAATGTAGGTAAAACCAAAGAGTGACTCTTGGAACTGTGGGTATGTACAGCCTTTGGAGCCTGAACACCACCATACCTGAATCTTGCTTTTCTCTGTCTTTAGGTCAGGATCGCAGTGAAGCCACTTTGATAAAGAGGTTTAAAGGCGAAGGCGTCCGGTACAAGGCCAAACTGATTGGGATTGATGAGGTTTCTGCAGCTCGGGGAGACAAGTTATGTCAAGATTCCATGATGAAGCTCAAGGTGCTGTGCCAATATTTTATTTTAAATATCATGGGTTTAACATGAATGAGACAAAGAAAGAATGCCTCCGCATCATATGGTAAATAACTTTGGTCATTTATTGGCAGATTACTTGGTGCCCTGTTGAATCATCTCATTTATTCATTGGGAAAATATTTCAATCATTCAGCAAATGTTTATTGAGCACCTACTATGTGGAGGTAATTTGCCAGGCTCTGTTTTATCATTTTTGAGGGTAACGCATTTTATTCAATTTTATCTTCATTGTGCAACCTCTATGAAAATAGAATGTAAAATTATAAAATTATTTAGCCCCTCAAATATTGTGAACTTTTACCATTTTGTTATTTTTTAATAAAATTTTATATACTTTGCCATATGTTAAATATGGCAAAAGATAATATGCAAGGATAAAAGCTGATTTCCTTTATTCTTGTAATTTCTATTTATGCACCCCGAACACTTTATGATAAAGGAAAAATATTTGTGAAGTAATATGTAAGTATATGTATGGAGCCCTAGTGGTGCAGTAGTTAAGTGCTCAGCTGCTAATCAAAAGATCAGCAGTTCGAATCCACCAGCTGCACCTTGGAAACCCTGTGGGGCAGTTCTGCTCTGTCTTATAGGGCCACTATGAGCTGGAATGGACTCGACATATCACAGTGAGGTTTCTGGCTTAAAACGCTTTAAAGAGACTTTTTCACTGAGAAATCTATTGGAATTTTTTTTAATATACAAAATAGTAAAAGTATTTTACTAAATGGCCTTTAAAAACCTACAAAAAAGACCACTCTTCTTTTCCACGTTCTATTCTTCAAATATTCTGTTTTCTTTTTTGAATAGTGATATAAAATATTAGAAAAACAAATAATATAGCAACAAGTCTGCAAAATATCATATACACTTAAAACATACAAATTAATTATTTTTGATTATCGAATTCACATGTTAATTTTAGAAAATTTTGAAAATACAGAAAAGTATAAGGAAGGTTATTGAAATCATCTACAATTCCACCACACAGAGAAAATCAGTGTGAACATTTTTGTGTATAACTTACAACCTCTTTGTTTTTACGTACATTATGTATGAATTATACACATATGTAATAAGGATTACTGTTGATACAGTTTTGTATCCTTTTTGCATTTAAAAATATGAACATTTTTTACATCCTCAAATAATCTCTGTAATAGAACTTGGTCAATTTAATTTTTTTTCTGTAAAGTGTAAGAAAGGAAGAAAACAAAACAATACAAATCAAATCTGGACAAGTGCCTGGAAGTATTAAATGGGACAATATCGGTAAAGCACTCTCCATATTGCCGTTTCTTTCATAGATGCTTAATAAATCACAACTATTATTGTCATTTATGCTGTAGAAAATTTCTCAATAGTTTAGCACATATATCAGATGCTAAGTGTTCCTATAGCATAGCTCTAGAAATCATGATTTTTTTTTAATCTTATTTTATCATTAATTTTCTAGGCTGTACCCATTACTTTTTTTTTAAGCTGGTACATAAGCTAACTTTATTTTAATAGCTTTGTATCTATTATAATGTGGACTAGAAAAAGATATAAAAGACATCAAACCCATGATTTCAAAGATTATCATTTTGGAAGACGTTAATGCATCCATTCTGTCACAGTTAAGCAATATTCTTAGACTTTAGGGCAGTCCAGTAAAGAGCCATCTTCCTCTCCCAAATTCAGATTTGACTGAGAATTAGACAAAGGTGTTGGGCAGGAGGAATTCAAAATTCCACTTCTATAACTCATTAATGCTGGAGACCCTGGGTGATGGGAACAGTTAACACACTCAGCTGCTAATTGAAAGGTTGAAGGTTTGAGTCCATCCACATGTACCTTGGAAGAAAGGCCTGGTGATCTACCTCTTAAAAATGAGCCATTGAAAACCCTGTGGCGCACAGTTCTACTCTGACAACACGTGAGGTTGCCACGAGTCAGAATTAACTCGACAGTAGCTAGTAGTAGTAGTATTAGGGCCTGACTTAGTTACAGTGAAGGAGACAGGCTATTCCCCTTGGTCTGTGGAAGAACTGAATGACTGCAGTCCCCCTTGTTTTCCCCAGTCCCTGCCAACCCCAGAGTAAGACCTGTAACTATGCAAGAAATCAGACGTGTGAGCAACCTCTTTGCCAGTGGGCAGATTCCACAGAGAGAGCCCACAAGAGACTAAGCCAAATGTGCTCGGTCTTTTCCCTCAAACTCCCCAGTCTGCAGTCATGCTTGCCTCCTTGAGGAGACGGTAGTGAAAAATGGGGATAAAGGCCAGAAACTTGATTCTTGCTGAAGTATCTTTATCCTGAATATGAGGCCAGGAAAATGGATGTTTGCTCCTGACAAATATTAATTAAAAGTCATCAAGAAAATTTTTTTACTTAATCCTTCATCTCCAAAGACCTGGCTCTCACCCAGAGTCACATGTCTGCTGAGGAGAAAAAAGGAACTGATGCATCTTTCCCAAACATCCTGAGAGATAGACATTCACAAGGCATCTGTCTTAGATCACCTCATTTGCCGGCTGCCTTCATGGAAGCACCGAGGTCTAAGTGGATAAGAGGCAAAAACCGACCTCTGCTCCCTGAAGGATCTCCTTCAGGATTAACATAGGGCCAAGCTGGCTGGACCAGGGCTGGTGATGACACTGGCCTTGCATGTGTTCGTGTGTGTGTGTGTGTGTGTGTGTGTGTGTGCACGTGCGTGCATGTGTAAGTGTGTGTGTAAGTGTATGTGTGTGATACCTGCAGTGAGGCGCTCCATCTGTCATCCCTCATAACCGTGAGGTCCCCAAAGCCCTGAGAGTTTGTCCTGCCATGATGCACTCCTGTCAAATGCGCTGAACTTGTTGAGGGGTTCTGGGTTCCCAGACAATTGTGTTTCATTATTTGCAGGTTGCCAAGAAGGATGTTGACATTTCATCTCCCAGTGGTTTTTCTTTAGAAAACACAGTAACGTAAATGATCAATTCTCCGTTGGCTACCTGCCCAGGAAAGGAATAGACAAAGAAGTACAAAATGCCTCTTGGCCTTGCAGAAAGGCCCACTTGTCCATGTTAAACCATATGAGAAATAAAATTCTATTTCCCTTTGCTAGACTCCCTGACACTGGTACACTGTCCTGTTCTAGCAAGTTTCCTATGGGATTGTTAAGGTTTGAGAGGGGGTTCATGTTGTATGAGGGGCCCACTGTACTCCTCTTCTGCTACCACCACCCCCATCATCATCATCATCATCACATTTTAATTTGCAGTCAACAAAACAGTTTCACATATGTTATCTCTTTTCATCTTGTGAGATAGATATTGGTCTCCCTGTTTTATAAATAAAACAGAGGTCCAGATAATTTAAAGGATTTTCCTCAGAACTTTGATTTAATCTGTGATAAACCCAGAATTCACACCTAGATCTCCGGAGGCCTAGCCTAGTGCCTAGTAGCTCACTTAAGTTTATCCCTTAATTGTATTCTATTTTATATCTGAATTTAGTTTATCTTCGTTTTCCAACTAGGTGTTAAACTCCCACCAATAAGCTCCTTCCCAATAGCCGCACATCACTGACTCCTAAAGAAGTCAACTTCTTAGAGGCATTGGACAAAATGGTGGTGGCTGAAGCTGTGGGAGAAGATGAGATCTCAAAGACAGTACCTGGAGGGCTTAGTACAGAACCCAAACTATGTCAGTCAGGGTTCTGACAGAAATAGAACCCACCCTGAATAGTTCAGATGAGGACGCTTTAATGAAGGAGCTACTTGCAAATGGGAGACAAGGCTAAGGTAGCAAACAAGGGACAGTGAGGTACCCAGAGACTAGCCACAGTGGTAAATTGTTACCATCCCTAGGAAGAAATATGTATACTAGGACCCGAGGAGAGCTGGATTGTGGAGAAAGCCCCCTCCTCCACCCAGAAAAAGATATAGCTTGGAGCAACATAGCTATTACCAGTGATATAACATCGAAGACGGGAAGGAGCTGAGAAGAAATTCCTTAACTCTCTCTCCTCGCATCCTCTGATCTCCTGCCCGTGCCTCACATTGGTGGAACCCAACTGGAGGCCAGAGGGCAAGGAGGTCTGGGGTACCAGGAGGTACAGTTGAAGGGGTCAGCCTCTGGACGGGTACACACACACACACAGACACACACCCTGGTTGCCTTCAACTCAACTCTGACTCGTGGCAACCTCATGTGTTCAGAGTAGAACTACCCTCCAAAGGGTTTTCAAGACTGATCTTTCAAGACTGAGACCTTTCAGAAGCAGGCCTTTCTTCTGAGGTACCACTGAGTGGGTTCAAACTGCCAATTTTCAGTTAGTAGTCAAGTGCTTAACCATTTGTGCCACCCGGGGATTACCAAAGCCCGACGGAAGCTATTTGTATTCCTTGTTTTTAACTGGGAAAAGCGAAGCCGAAGATGTGTTTTTTCCCCTAAAATCATGCAGCTGGTAACTAGCAAGATTGCGATTTGACGCTGAGTTTATTACATGGCACTTCCTGGAATTGCCTTGTAGGTTTTCAGCCATCCATGCCCAAAGCCTGTTATGTCCACACACGTGCTTTGTGTGTTCTGTGGTGATCACAGTCATAGCATCATGGGCCTGCATCATGCTGTGTGAGTGTTCTCAAAGTCCTTCCACATACATCATCTCATCTGAATCTCACAGTACCCCAAGCTGAACAGCACAGCCTGTTTGTCCTGCTTGGCATGTGTAACCCCTTCTTTATGTCTCAACTCCCACTGCCTACCTGTGACTCCCTCAGGGATGCCTGTGTCAATCATTTCACACAGTGCCTGGCACACGGTATTGCTTAATGACATCATTATTAGTCCTAGTAATAACGATAGCTGTTGTACTGAGCTCTCCGTCCTTGCTACGCACTGCTAAGTGCTCAATACGCATAAAAACCCATTGCTCTTGTGTCATTCGGGTTCATTTAAATGTCCTGACACTCTTGTATGAGGTAGGAAACGTGATTGTTCT